GTGGTGGCATAAATTCTTATTGGTCAGCCGTCGATATACACACTCAGACTGTGCACATGCTCCAGTATGCAGAGAGATATGGCAGATGGGGCCTCGGCCTGCAATAGGCCGCACTGGCGACAACAGACAGAACCCTTCCCGAAGCACGGCCCTATTCATGTAGAAGTCAAGGGCACATTAATTACCGCCGCGAGAGGGTGCATTTCTGAGCTCGCTTGAGAAGGCAGAAGACCCAACAGGGGTCGCGCGTCTTCAACAAACCTCTATTCCTAGGAAACTGAAGTGCGGCCGGATACATTCGCGCTCTGGATGATTTTTGTCGCGGGCATCATATCTGCACCCGGGCGGCAGGGCGTTCCTCCATCTCAAAGTGTTTCAGGTGCAACACTTGCTAGCCTGCCTTTGGAATGGAATGGAATGGAGACGAGGGACGCTAGTGGCGCTCCGAGTTGTAAACTGCTAGACGCGCGCTGGTCCTCCTCCATTCTGGTGCCTCTATAAGAAGCTCAGCCGCCCATCTTACGTCTGTCTGTCCCTCGCCCACCATGCCCCGCTTCCGCCCTTACTTCTGGCTTGCCCTCGCGTGGCGCGCTGTCCTCGAGAGGTTCACGTCCCGCTGGCTGTGGCTTGCGAGCGAAGAGACGGGCGGCGCCGTGTCGTTGAACATCATCGTCGTCGGCGGAGGGATCGGCGGCCTCGCGGCCGCCTATTGCCTCGCAAGGGCAGGACACGCCGTGACTATCCTCGAGCGCGCAGCCGCCGCGGGAGACGATGTGGGCGCCGGGATCCAGGTATGATGGGAGTTACGATCACGTGTCGAGCTGATTGGCATTGGCGTGATCATGCCACTGACAGGTTTCTCCGAACTTTAGTCGACTGCTGATCCGGTGGGGATTGGGAGAAGAGTTGGCGGAAAAAGGGTGTGTGCCGGAGGGCATCGCGTTTCTTCGGTGTGCGTATACAAAGTATAGGCTACCTCTGGGAGACTCATGCGCCCTAGATTCCACGGGAGAGCGGGTCGGGGCCACGCGATGGGGCAAACAGATGGAGGCTGATTACGGCGCGCCTTATTATCACATCCACGTGCGTCACCTGAAATCGCGGTGCAAGAGCTTCCCTGAGTCCCAGCTTACTTGCATCTCTGATGACCAGCGCGCCGACCTCCTGCGGATGCTCACGCGCCTGTGCGCCCGCCGTGCGGCCCTGCGGCTGGACAGCCGGGTTGCTTCTGTCGATCCAATCACCGGCTCCGTGGTTCTCAGCTCAGGCGAGATGCTTACCGCAGATCTCATCGTCGGGGCCGACGGGATCAAGAGCGTCGTGCGCTCTGCGGTGCAGGGAGAAAAGCCTCCGCTGCAGACCGGCGACGCGGTGTACCGCGCGGTGATCCCCACAGACGGGATGCTGGCAGACCCGTCTGCCCCCAGCATCCCGTCTGTGGGGATCACCGCGCGGTACACCGCGTCGCCGGTCTGCAGCGGAGGCTTTTCTCCCTGCACCGCAGAGCGCACGACGCTCTTGATCCCGTCGGCCCCGACGATGAGATCTGCGGTAAGCATCTCGCCTGAGCTGAGAACCACGGAGCCGGTGATTGGATCGACAGAAGCAACCCGGCTGTCCAGCCGCAGGGCCGCACGGCGGGCGCACAGGCGCGTGAGCATCCGCAGGAGGTCGGCGCGCTGGTCATCAGAGATGCAAGTAAGCTGGGACTCAGGAAGCTCTTGCACCGCGATTTCAGGTGACGCACGTGGATGTGATAATAAGGCGCGCCGTAATCAGCCTCCATCTGTTTGCCCCATCGCGTGGCCCCGACCCGCTCTCCCGTGGAATCTAGGGCGCATGAGTCTCCCAGAGGTAGCCTATACTTTGTATACGCACACCGAAGAAACGCGATGCCCTCCGGCACACACCCTTTTTCCGCCAACTCTTCTCCCAATCCCCACCGGATCAGCAGTCGACTAAAGTTCGGAGAAACCTGTCAGTGGCATGATCACGCCAATGCCAATCAGCTCGACACGTGATCGTAACTCCCATCATACCTGGATCCCGGCGCCCACATCGTCTCCCGCGGCGGCTGCGCGCTCGAGGATAGTCACGGCGTGTCCTGCCCTTGCGAGGCAATAGGCGGCCGCGAGGCCGCCGATCCCTCCGCCGACGACGATGATGTTCAACGACACGGCGCCGCCCGTCTCTTCGCTCGCAAGCCACAGCCAGCGGGACGTGAACCTCTCGAGGACAGCGCGCCACGCGAGGGCAAGCCAGAAGTAAGGGCGGAAGCGGGGCATGGTGGGCGAGGGACAGACAGACGTAAGATGGGCGGCTGAGCTTCTTATAGAGGCACCAGAATGGAGGAGGACCAGCGCGCGTCTAGCAGTTTACAACTCGGAGCGCCACTAGCGTCCCTCGTCTCCATTCCATTCCATTCCAAAGGCAGGCTAGCAAGTGTTGCACCTGAAACACTTTGAGATGGAGGAACGCCCTGCCGCCCGGGTGCAGATATGATGCCCGCGACAAAATCATCCAGAGCGCGAATGTATCCGGCCGCACTTCAGTTTCCTAGGAATAGAGGTTTGTTGAAGACGCGCGACCCCTGTTGGGTCTTCTGCCTTCTCAAGCGAGCTCAGAAATGCACCCTCTCGCGGCGGTAATTAATGTGCCCTTGACTTCTACATGAATAGGGCCGTGCTTCGGGAAGGGTTCTGTCTGTTGTCGCCAGTGCGGCCTATTGCAGGCCGAGGCCCCATCTGCCATATCTCTCTGCATACTGGAGCATGTGCACAGTCTGAGTGTGTATATCGACGGCTGACCAATAAGAATTTAATGCCACCACACT